GAAGTAAAGATAATGGCTAAATCTACGAGTTAAGATAAAACATATCAGTAACTCGTTTGTGTTCAATTTACCGCACGTTTGAATTTGACACTCACCATCTCTGGCCGTGTCTCAATATGCGTACTTGTCCGTACTTGCGTTCTTGCGGACTTGTGAAATGTCATCAGTCTGAAACCAAGTATTGTCCCAATTCTAAGTACGCATCTGACCAAGTATGCATGAAATGCCCGGATGTGTTCTCGCTCCGTCCACATTATCGAGTCTGCATCAGACCGGACTTGTGTGGACTTCAGACAGCCAAGTATCCCAGAATGCATTTCGCGACAACCAGTGGCAAAAGCCAAGGAGAAAACTTTCAACGGTAACACAAGTTTTTTTGTAAATACTATTGTTATTGTGACACAAACTGTAGTTTTATGATTATTTGAGGCGAGACAGTAGTGGTATAAATGCCAAATATGTGGTCATTTTATCACGATAAAGCCTGCTTAAAATTGTGCTCCAACGATTTCGGAGACAGGAGTGTCCCGGTTTGACAGCTGTGACGGCGGCCAGCGCTCACAGTAGCCCGCTAGCAGCCTGATGTCGCCAAGACTTTCTGAAGTCTGCTGCTGACGGTTCCGTAGCGGTGAAACAGGGATATACGTAGTTTAGCGGTCACACTTTGTCCCCACAGTGTAATTTGTTTATTGCTCACAATCGCTTTAAAAGAAGTTAATGTTGGAACGTTATATTTTTATTTAGTGTTATACTTGATCGCTGCCTCAGTACGTCTGAATTATTCTCCTGCTTTCATTACCTGTAGTACAGTCTTGTTCTATTCCTATGACTGTGACTGTACATTAGAAATAACATTTAAGCAATGTTTTAGTGGAGGGCCAGCTGGATAAACGTCCTCCCTGACTGCTGGGAGACTCCCCAGAACATGAGCAGCTCCATCCTGGTCCTTCTGACGGAGCATCTTCAGCAGCATGAGGCTGTTTCCGGCTCCACTGAAGAACATTAGGAGGAGGAGAGGCACAACGTTTTTCATCTGTGATATGTTTTGTAAGAGACTTTTGTCCTGTTATAAAATATAATCTTATAAAAATTACCCTGTTTATTAATTGTTATATTTATTTTATATAGTTCTTGTCTATTTAAGTATTTTTGCAATTAAACATTTTCACCTGTATTCCAAAGATGAATGGTCTGATATGAATTGCTGAAGCCACAATTACATTTTCCTCCAACATCTGACCTGTTAATCAGACACTGCTTTCAACAAATTAACGGCTTCAATAAAGATTGTATAACGACCTTAGAAACCTCAACATGTATACATATTATATATATATA